AAGACGCTTCTGAGGAGCCAAGCGGGATTTGTGGGACGACGACGTCCGCGACGCAAGGACGATGTCGATTTGGAGAGTATCTGCAGGGAGGTAACGTTCCTGATGAATACTCGTCCGTTGGATTATGCTAACTCTGACGAGCCATCTGGCGAGTTTGTCGTGGTTACGCCTGATCAATTGGCTCGTGGATTTACTCGTAAGCGAGGTTGCGTCCTCGCTGGTGGCTCTTCTACTCTTCCTATTTCTCACCGCGTTAGAGCAGTGCGGTGTTATTTCCTGAATGAGATGTTCCGCGACATGAGGATGGCTGTCGCTCGCTCTATGGGGTACCAGAGCTTGAAGAACAAGATCCTGAAGCCTACGATTGGTGACCCAGTGCTGATCTACCATCCGGAAAAGAAGCTGAGCCCCGGATACCGTTTGGGTCATGTGAAGGATCTGCTAGATGAAGGTAGAAGGATCCGTATTGTCTTAACTGACGGTAGCGTTGTTGATCATCATCACTATAATGTTGTGCCGATTCTGCATCACCCTCAATTGTCGGGGCAGAGGGGGCGTATTGAGGATTGACGAGCCCGGTCTTGCTTTGTTCGTGCGTGCAGTCCTGTGTACGTGCGTGCCCCGCAATTGATGGTGTTTTTTCCCTGAGCCATTATATTAAATGACATTGATACGCTCAATCTCAGTTTCACAACCGTAAACTTGTCTACTCGTTGTTAATATATTGAAAAAGGGCGTTTCACGCAAGTGTGGGTGATTTCGGGACGTCCTTCCCACCTTTATCCTTAAAGTTGCTGATCAACGTGTGATGGTGTGGCAGACTGCCACCGGCAGTCGACCGCTCGCTCTGGGAGTGTCGGAAAGTTGTTGATTTGCTCTTTTTTTGCCAGGATATTACCCTGTCGCGGTGCAAACTGCGGCAGTTTGAAATTGCCAACGAACGTGTTTTCGTCGGAAATTTTCCGAGCTTCCCAGTTCTGTGGTTCTCTAAGTTTTTCGAATTCTATGGTTTCTCCTCGTTTCTTTTTTCCACCAATGTGGTGGCACGCATGAATGCACGCATATCCAGAGCCTATGGGTATGCGTGCATTGACCGGTATGGGCGCGTGACCTGTGGTCCATGGGTCTTAAGCTCTGAATGACGTATCCGCATACATCTCTACTAGGCCATCTTGGACGATTCCTGGTTATGGTATCACCGTTTTGTACGAGAGTCAGTACTGGGTGATGACTCACTAAGTGACTCTCGCAGGAAAAAATCAAGAGTTACACCCACTCTATCTAGACGCTGGACACGCTCTCATTGCTCATATATAGACATAACGAAGCCACTGCCAGCTGATAGTGGAGGATTTCGATGCAGCGGGCGTCGATTCTTAGTGCAGTGGTTTATAGAACCGTAAACGCCATGCTCAACCTACGGGTTGCCTACCCAGGGGCGCCACTATCGCGCTGCTGATGGGCCTATGGAATACCGCGCGCAGCGCGGAGCGAAACGATTCATATTGTGCCAAATT